TGAAGAAAATAAATTCTTGATATTTTGGTGGGTAAATATTTTTCAGATTTGTTTTTTCTTTTTTGACAATTGGAAAAAATTCTAGACACAATGAAAAAAAAAAATTCACTTTTATTGACAATTTCCATACAAAATAAAGTCAAACAAATGGTATTCGGTATGGTCATTTTTTTTTCAATTTTTTTTTGGCAATTGGAACAAATTCTAGACCCAATGATAGAATAATATTATCACTTTAATGAACAATTTCCATAAAAAACGAAGTCAAACGGATCAGACTTTCAACGTTTACCATGAAAAATTATACCAATCAAACACGATTAATTACAATTCCCAGTAAAACAATTTTTAGGTGAATTAATTCCCTTTAAAACATTTTCTTTTCACTCACTTCCACCTTTGCAATCAAACGAACTCTAAGATCATAAAACAGATGGAGAATTGTTAAATCATATATAAAAAAGTCTTCTATGACTAAGTAAACTAACATTTTTCCCTTATTCTTCTCTCTCCGTCATATTCAAATTTATCACGGAGTTGGCCAACCTTTTCCCATCTATCATCTCTCCTATTCCTCCCCAAACGTTGATCTTGCAGTTAAATATTGAAGTCACTTCGATGTACTATAAGGCCTGTTTGATTTGACAATTTTTCCATGGAACTTGAAAATGAAATTCCACCTTCCACCAAAAGTTATGTTTAATTGGGAAAATTGTCTTGGCAATTCATTTTTCATCTTTTCCCTCACAAGTTTCTAATTCCAGGGTCTTGAGGAAAATCAAATCCAAGCTACTTTTTTTTTTTTTTTGCAATGGAAACAAATTATATCCCTAATTGTAACAAATTATTGTCTTGGCAATTCATTTTTCATCTTTTCCCTCACAAGTTTCTAATTCCAGGGTCTTGAGGAAAATCAAATCCAAGCTTCTTTTTTTTTTTTTTTGCAATGGAAACAAATTATATCCCTAATTGTAACAAATTATATCCTTTTAATGGACAATTTTAGTGTAAAATAAAGGCAAACGAATACTAAAAGATCTAAAATTTTAATATTTTTCATGTGAAAAATTATACTAATAAAATACAATTAATTAACAATTCCTAAGAAAAAAATTCTAGGCAATTCAATTATCTGAAATTTATTTTCTTTTCATCCAAATTTCACTCTTGCAATCAAACATGTTCTAAAAGTAAATTTTACACCTACCTATTTTATGTAGCATTCCTTAACCTACTAGTTCATAAAGACTTCGTGCAATGTGTCAACAGAAAACATGTAACTATTACATAGCAATAGGTGTCAGCTAATAGCATTTGAGAAAGAGAGCTGAGGAGGGAAGGAGTGAGGAAGGAGGGCCTCTGAAGATAGTAAATTCAGGGAGAAGGAAATATGAGCGAAATATATCCAGAGACAAAGGAGGCAATGGGCCAATAAGTCAGATGTAAAAGAAAACAGTTCAACCCACTGGCGGGCACGTGCCCTCAACTTTGCTTTTTTTTTTTTTTAATGTTTTGTTTCAATTTTCGAAATCATTATAAGATGTGAAAAGAAATTGAAATATTATATTCTTAATACCATTTAGAAGTGTTCACAATCTAGTTTTTTATGTCGTTAACGGCGTGCAAAATGATCGATCGTAGCAAATGTTACGACTTGTTAAAGTAGGCGGTATAAAATTAGTATNTTAAAATTAGTATTTTGAGAATTTCAATAACATGCTAGCTTTAAAAATTCTCCGACGATCGTACGGTAAACGAATCTACAAATCACTTGTATCATCTCAAATCTTATTTCGAAGACTACATTATAGACATATCGAATAGTTCAAACAAATATCGAAAACAGGTAAAGATGCGTCAAACGTAGTCTTAAAAAAGAGGCATCTAACTCTCATTTTTTTAAAAAATTTAATTATTTCATTAATATTTATTATTTTTTTGATATAATTTTTTCAATATAATTTTCATCATTTTATTACGAAAATTTATATGGAATATGAAAATTTTTTTTTCGAAATTTTACATATGAAAAAGNATGACATCAAAAAATTTCGAGATTTTACATCCGAAAAAGTCATATTCCATATAAATTTTCAGATGCAAAATTATATGGGATATGATTTTTTTGAATGTAAATTTTCCATTGTAAAATTTCTCCCAACTTTTTTGCAAATTCGATTGTGTCTCCTAACTTTAATTGACTGGTTCAGCCCCTAGTTCAACCTGTTCAAAAAAGGCTCGATTAATGGCAACTTTGACTGCATGGTTGTTGAAAGATATAGTATGTAACAAGCGGAATATTACAGAAACAGAACGGACATAGATAATTAATACATCACATTTACACTTAAAGTTACAAATAAGTAGAAAACCATTTATGACATTTATATTACCTCTATTAAATTAAAAGAACAAAGTTGAGTGGAATGCATGCATTACCTTCATTTGCTCAGGTTGGGATTGCCTTCTCCCGCAACCAGAGAAATCAAAGTGTATTTTCGGCCTATAAAAAAAACTTGACCAAATTTGAGAATAGCATCAACAAACAAAAGAAAATGAAAAGAGATGAAAATAATGA